TATGACCCCTTGTCTCCGTAGTGAGTAGATAGTGAGATGGCTTGATTCACAATGTTACCATCTAGCTCTTAATTGTCGATAGCTTTTTATTTTTTTTATTTTATTCTGTGAATAATTTTAAAGAAAAATTTGGAATATGCATAGATTCGACAAGGGTGCACATTTTAAAAAAATAAAAATAATATTTTTCAGTAATAAAAAATATCAGAATACCTCTAAAAGTTGCAAGGGCATTTTGATCATTTATTTTTTAAATAAAAATAGACCATGACATTATGATATGAACAATTGGAGTGGGTCACATTTAACTTGTTGGGGCTGCATAGAAACATTTCCCGGTGCTTGAAAGTAAAAATTTTAGAAGAATGTAAATGTTAACAAACTCACAATTCAAATTTTTTCTTTTGAAAATAATCACCTAACCTCTCAAAATTTGAGATTAAAAAAAAACTCAATAATAACTTGATGACCAAGAGAGTATACGTACAGTTGCTCGCAAATACGTTTGCTGCTTTATCTTTATTTAAACATAAATTCGAGTCCGTGCTCACTTGGCCTTTAAACCGGATTTTTATAAATTAACTGTGGCTTCAACTTTCCTCGCTCTCTCTCTCTCTAGTTTTTTTAAAGGCAGTTTGCCCAACGTCCGTATTTTTCTCATAACCCATTAAAAATGTGAGTGTTCTCTGGAGTGCGAGTGCGTGTCCGTGTCCTATGAATTGTGGAAACTTCAATGATGAAAATTACACTGCAACTTGTGTTTTTCAATTGAGAGTTTGCTAGATTATGGTGCAGAGATGCCTTAAAACTAGATGTTCTACATTTCTAGGATTTGATTTTGCAAAATGGGGTTTGTTGTGCTGTAGTAATTGCAGTTCTTTCATTTGGGTGTCGCTAAATCATGGTGTAGAAATGCCTCTGAGTTTAAGATTTTCCTTTTCTTTGGGGCCAAAGAAAAGAAAATTGGTGTTTAAGATTGAGTTGTTTCTGGAACCATGAACCAGAAGTTTTGGGTTAGTCAATGGGTTTTGGGGCATGGGCGTGGTGTAAATATATGTTGTGAAGTATTTCTTTCAGCATGGTATAACATACATGAAAATAATGGAATTTGTATGTACTGGTTCAGGGGTGGTTCGAAACAGAAATGTTAGATGGGTTCTTACCAATTCAAGCTGCGAAATTGCCCTGAGCTTCATTACTGAAAAAAACTGATCTGCTCTCTGAATTCTTGTGTGAATGCTTTCACCTGGACCGCAATATTCATTTCAAATGTAAGTCTTATATAACCTTACATATAATTCAGGGGAACAAATTCAATTATATTTTGTTATTAGTGATGATTG